AAATGTGCTTGCCCAGATCTATGTTCACAAATAATCATACAACATTCCCACATGCACACACAGTGTGACACATCACATATACACACACATTCCATTCCCACATGCTCAGGCCCCATGTGCTCATGCCTTGAAGTTGCCCCCATGAAGTCTTCACTTCAAAATGCCAAGATGCTTGAATGAGTGGATACTGGGTTTCACTTTACTTCATTGTGCCTTTCCTGATAGCTTTGAAAAGGCAGCTTCCTCAGGAGAGAATGAAGAGGAAGATGGTTTCCAGAAGGGTGAGAGATGCCCACCAGGCTTCCTGCCCTGCCTTAAAAATGTTGTTTTAAAATACAAAAGAGTGATACAGGCATGAGATAAAGCAAGCAGGAACCCTCCAATATCTGTTGGAGTCATGCAGGCCCAAAGTACATTCCTGAAGGTAGAGATAAAACTAAGGGATACTGCTTGTTTTATCTCTACCTTCAGGAATGTACTTTGGGCCTGCATGACTCCAATAGATATTCTTTAAGTATAATAAGGGATGGTTGCATCCTAGTGTTTTGTCTGGAAGTATATTCTTCTGCCCAGAAAGATAAGCTGGAGTAGTAGGGAGCATCCTGAGGCTAATGGGTGTGGTAGGGAACAACCTTACTAATTTACTTTCTAATAAATGGGTAATTTGTGACTGGCTACACCAAAGATGGAGGCTCTTTTCTGAAGGGGTAAGCCTCTCATCACAGCAGTCTTGAATGTTTCCCAATGTTCCAGATGTGTCTCCCAACCCCAGAAGACTGGAGACCTCAAACATTGGACCTTCTGTGTGATTACATAAGCTGGTGGCTCAGCTCAATGGCTTACAGATCAAAGCAAGTTGCTGGGATGGCACAAGTATTCTTCCTATTTTGTAGAGTGGGAATTGGAACTGCCAAAGAAGCAGATGTTCCTATTACCTCTTAAATATGAACAATTAATGCAAGTTCTTAATAATGTTTATTGCTGTGGTTGGACCCTAGTCCCAAGTGATACTGGCATCAGTGAGAAAGATGAGTGTTACTTTACAGATGAGATGTGTAAACTTGTTCAGTGCTTATCTTAATAACATATATTGCACATTTGCATACTTTGAGAAACTCCTGGATCACAAATAGTTGCTCATTGCCCTTGTTCTTTTTCTTTACTAGAGTTCCAATGTTTGCTGCATCTTTGGTTATCCTAGAGCTATGTAAGATTCCTTCTCTACATTCTATGAAAGTAGCTGCAATGAAATGAGTCCTGTAGTAGTAGCTATAAACCGAACAGTGTTGCTTGAGCCCATTAGGGAGTAGGCATAATGACTTGTTATAAAGTACTGCTGCTGGTAGTTTCCCCTTTCCATTGAGTGCCACTGATTTGTGAGCCATACTTCCTTCCCAAAGGCAGCTTATGTCCTACAGGGAAACTTGTTTTTAAACAGTAACATCTTTGAGGAAATGGTAGCAGCCAAAGAAAAATCTTCTGGGTTGACTTTGAGTCTCCCAGTGATCGGAGCTGCAAGAAGATTTAATTCTTACCCAAATCATAATGGGGTGACTTGTCATTCAGAACTTATATAATCTCTTGCTAAGTATTTACCTGTATCTCTGTTAGACAATACACTTCCTAGGGTAGAGGCCTATCATTCTTATGTTGGTCTCCGAACTGACAGTGCAGAATGACTGAAAGTTACCTGACATAAGGTATACAGCAGTCTGAATACACAAAGCACAATATGGATTTTGAGTATCCGAGTGATAAAGTTCTGAAAATCATAATCAATAATATAAGGATTTTCCTTTCTCATTCTGCATGCTCACTGAGTATGCATTGCCCACAGGGCCTATCCCAGCAAAGCCTTTAATCACTGACTCATAATTAAACATGCAGTCTTTCCCTAGAGCTGTTCCCAAACCTACTTTCTTTCCATGAACATCTACAGAGATAGGCGTGTGAGGGATGTCATATGCATTATGACATCATCGTACAAATGACACAAATTACATACTGTACATCATTTGCACCATGATATGACTGACATAAATTACATAATTTATGCTATTTGTGTGATGATGTCATGATGCAAGTGACATCACTGTAGCTTTTACTGTGCACCTATAATAACTCCTTTCCATGACCTTGTTTACCTTCTAGGCCCAAAGAAGGCAAACCTTTTGTGGCCACCAGCTGAGGTATAGCTAATCCAAAATCTTTAGCATTAGTCTGTACTACACAGCTTCACGTTAACTTTCCAAAATGTTTAACTGAAAAACAGCATTACATCCGAAGATGTAAGCTGCACTGTGCAGATTCCTGCCCCAGAATTGGTAATGTTAAACTCTCTCCTGAACAAAAGTACATTATTAATAAATGTAGATTTCAATCCTCAGGTAATTCTTGCTTTGACCAGATGTTGCCAGCATCAACTCAGATAGGACACAGGAGTTCTTTTCATGTCAGTGAGCAGTTGGATTGCCATTGGCTTAAAAAATCTACTTTTGATGGATAGATGAAGAATTCATTCAAAAGTGATAGACTTCTCAGCAATTCTTTTTGCTTTTTGTACTGACCTGAATTATAAGGCCTTTGAAGTTATTTTTCATGTGGCTTTCCTTGATTGTGGTAACTGGGAAGCAATGTGTGGAAAGAAAAAAAAAAAAAGGAAGCTGAGTGGCAGATTTGCTTTCATGCTGAGACAGGAAGCATGTTCTAGGCTTGAGAATTGGTTGAAGTGGTTCTTGAGACGTATACTGGATTGAATGAAACGTGAAGCTGGGATTATTTATGTAAATATGTGTCTCTGTTTAAATATGTACGATTATGTAGAACCTCAGATACATAATTACCTAAAATGGTTAGGTTCATCATGTTTTTCTTTTTTCCCAAAGTAGCATGCATATCTTGCTCACTCATGCAATATACATACAAATCATAATGTGGTTTTGATTTGTTTGGTTTAGCATGTTGCATGGATGCCATTGTGGTATAGAAATAATAAATTATTATTTAGTGCATTGTGCAGTGTTCATCAATTGTGGCATATTAGATAATCCATAGTTAAATTATGTCTTAACAAGATGTGTGAGTCAGGTTGTAATGCAATTTGTTTGCTTATGACTTTGTCTCTCTCTCTTACGTGGCCATAAATACCCCAGATGCATCAGAGTTGCCTTAACACTAGTGTAACAAGAGTACCTTTTAAAAGCAGGCTGAGTCCAGTGAGTTTAGAGCCTGGTCAGATTTATTTTGGTTTATATATAAAACAGGATCAACAGATGAAAAGGAATAGAAAAGCAGTTTTAGAGCAAAGTTCTCAGCATAAGAAGTCAAGAGAAAGCTAAGAATAACATACATTATACTCAGAGTAAGCAACAAGTGGTCCTGGGCCATAAACAGCTCATGGGTCCCTATTTTGTGTCCCTTGAAGTGTCCCCTGGCTATGATTGCTGCAAATCAGAACCTCTACTTTCTGCTCGTTTGAGGCAGAAAATACATGAAAACCATAGCATACCTTCTAACTTAAGTTTAACAGATTAAAAATCAGCAACGCTTCTTTTCCAACTACAGAAAAATAGAAGACCCAAGTCTCACTCAAATGTGCAGTAAAGTCCTCCCTTTGCCCTGCCTACAGCTGCCCTCCCTTCTTCCTTCCTTCAAATGTTGAAGGTGCCTCTAGCCATAGAAAGCTTTTCTGCCTATGCAGAGAACTTCTAAAGTCTTTCTTTGGCACCACTCACTTGCTAGATAAGGTGGAAGCAGAACTCCTAATGAGATGTACACCAAGCTTACATATTAATAATGTGATGCCCTGCCATAACTAGTCAAACAATGATGAGATTTTAGAACTCTCAAGAACATCCTATCTTTTCGTAACAGAAGTCACAATAATTTAAACAGTTCAGTGTCTGGAAGAGAACAAAATGAATTGCTTAGCTAGAAAGAAAATGAAAATAGGCAGAAAGAAGTATATAAAGCTTATGATACTAAACGATTGCAGGGAAACAAGTATGATGTTGAATGCAGATTTCCACTTCCTGAGAACCTCAGTTTTCGTGTTCAAAGAGGGAAAAAATAGCCCTTTTTCATGTGAAAATAAGGCTTAGAAAACAACAGATAACTGATGAAAATTCCAAAGCCGTATGGAGGTTACAATGAAGTTTAAGGGAAAGAGTCTTCAGTATCATACACAGCTATTATTCTGCTGTCTGCAGAACAATTATGCAAACTAAGCAAAGGCATTAAAACCATTTAATTTGCACAATTCATATAGACTGTGGAATTAATAATCTTGTGCTATGGAATTCGGGTTTCCTTGCTGTTTCTGTTTAAACTTAAGAACCCATACCTTAGATATATTTTAGCAGAGCAAATGAATCAATCTGACATTCTTTACTTGTTCTTCTTTGGCACTGAGGACAGCTATGCGACAGCTGGTACTGGGGTTTCACCTGATCAGAAAAGAAGAGTTCTGGAAGTGGAAGTAGTTGCAGCACCTTCCAGAGAAACACTGCAACCCAAAGCCTTACACATAGGGGTGAAAAGTGCTGTTTGCTTGCTTGCAAGCTCCTGCAAGACAAGCAGGAAATGAACGTCAGCTGAGTTCTTTTCCTTGCTCTGTGCAGCTCCGCCTCTCACTGTCCCTCCCCTGAGTCAGAGCTGGATCTCGTCCCTCCATCATGGGGATGTAGGGGAGGGGGGATGCAGCTCCCACTTAGAGCTGTTGATCCCCTCCCCTTATGATGCCACTAACTGAGCCAGCCTGAGCAACAAAGCTCAGCTACCTACTAGGGGATCAGCTTAGGAAATGGGTTGTCAACACTAGATGAGGTGCTTGCCTCCAGCTCCTGTTTTTCAGATACCAAGTTTCAGGACCAAGGATAGCACCACACTCTCTGCGTCTATTTCCCACTGCAGGCGCCACCTCAACGCAGCAGACTAGATTCCGCCCCCGCTGGCAGCAGCTTCGGATTTGAGCACTTCCTCCGCCTACAGAACCAGGGACAGCGCCTTTTCTGGGAAAGGAGTCGTCGTCTTCACCAAATTGCTATCGTCGCAGCTTCAGTCTCCCGTGTGGAGGAACAGCATTGAGCCACGTTGGTAAAACATGGCAACTGAGGTGAGCAGCGCCGGCAAGGTGGAACACGCATGTACTGGAGGCTACAGCTCTGCCGAATCATTGGTGCTGCAGCCAGATTTTCCTGGTTTGTGAGTGTTCTCCCTGATGCGGCAGGAAGCTTTACATCAGGCACCCCAATATTAGCTGTTATTGGTTGTTGTAGTGCCATGTTCCTTGGCTTGTTATGCTGAGGGCCTCTTGCTTTTCCTGAGTTTCCAGTGTCTGCAGCAATTGTACAGGTTAAATAAAGAAAGGAAGTATAGAAACCTGAGGCTCTTTGAGGGCTGAGAGTGCCATTGCTCATTCCAAAGCTAATTGCCTGATTTTTCCCCCCTTACCATGTAAATTGTTCTTGTTCAGCAATCATGGAGCAGAAACCAAGGCAGGCTATTGTTAAGAGGAGCAGGTGGCCCTTTGCTCAGCTGTGAATCAATGGGTTTCCCTGAACACATGGTAACATTCACCAGAGATAGACAGAAAGTCAGAGGCCTGAGGAAACACTCCTGAGCTGGACTGTGGTAGCAGCCTGACCAATAGCCATGCTTGTGGGATGATAGTTATGGTGTCTCGAGGGAACCAGGTTGGGTAAGGCTGCCTTATGTCTTGTGCTTTGGATTTGGTTTTAGTTCTGGCTTTTGTGAATAGGGGAGAAAAAGAGATACATGTGCCATGATTTCCTAGAATAAAGGGGGGGGGCATTATTCAAATTGATGAATTATAGACTCATAGGCAGGTCCCCAAAATGATTTATTGTTTGGTATAAGGTTAAAAAATACAGGGGGTGGGGGAGGAAGGGAAAAAGATTTTGCAGTGTTTTCTCTAAAGGTGCTCTATCCTGTTTTCAGAACTCTTTCCAAGTCAGCCCCTAGCAAGAGCCCCATCCCTCAGTGATTTTGTCACGATCACTGTTGCTCTTGCTCCATATTTCCCACCTTCCCATCCCAGCCAATAGGATCCTGTTTGTCAATAGAAGATGCATCCCTGAGCAGAAAAATCAATCTGAGTCGGAGCAGAAATAGCCAAAAGCTTGCTTGTTGCTAAGGGAAGAGCAACAGTTCCTGGGGGCATGGGTGGTGGTGGAAGGGAGTAGAAGCAGCTTGTTAAAGACTCAGTGAGATATCCTTAGACTTTGAAATAAGAAAAGCACGTAAGTACATGAAGCACACTGAATTCTCTCCCCTCCCCCCAATTTACAAAAGAATAGGCAGTTGTTTTTACAGTCATCTAACTTCAAACTCTCTTCCATTCCCAAAGATATTAATTTCAATCTTCAGTTTCTTGGAAGATTTCCATCTAAGCTCAAAATAAGATAAACAGGTCCAATTCCTACTGAGGGAAACCAGGGTTGCTCTGAAATCCAGTACATCTGCTAGTTTTCTAAATACCTAGGAAGTTTTATTGAACTGGATGGCCTCATATTTAGACTAATAAAACTTGTTGGAATTTTAAAAACATAAAAATAGCCTTCCTAGCCCATTTTGGTCCAATGTTATGATTTCACAGGCTTTTATTTTATTCTGAACCAACTCAACTCTGAGGAGGAGACAGCATATAATTTAATGTAAGAAATAAATAAACCTAAAGGCAGCATTGAGTCTTCAGAACTGATTGCTCTTAGGCTGTCCTTCATGAATTGATTAAATAGCTTTTTAAACCCACCTAAAATACTAGTCATCATGTCATGGTAATACTAATGAGTTCTATATGGTTTTTATCAACTTGGGAAAAAAATAGTTGGGTCTGTTCTGAATCTTCTTCCAATCATCTATGCTGAGTGTTCCCAGACCTTAACATTATGAGACTTCCTGTCCACTTTCTCTATGCCATGCCTGTATGGGGGGGGGGGGGGGGGG